CCCCCATCAGCCACCACCCCCCACCCCCAACCCAGAGACTGCCCCATTAAGCTGCCCACATGCCCCAGGGATGGTTGGCAGCTGCCTGATTACAACTAATTGGTGGCTGGCAACTACAGGGATGGCTCGTTAACCCTTTGGCGACCAGGCCCAACCCAAAGAGACCTTCTTCTCTCTACTTTAGGCTCCATATCTAAGGACCCCAGACTTAAGCAGCCATCGTGGGTAAAGGACAGGACCAAGCCTTTCCCCACCCAGACAACTCCCTGAGGCTCGGGTTGGATAGTGACATTCGCCCAGGTTCCCAAGCCCTAGGAGCCACACTTGGGACGGGCTTCAATTCCAGCCTTGTTCTCTGGCCTTGGGTATGGCATTGCCCACCCCAATCCAGGACCAGAGCAGTTATAGGACTTTCCTGGACTTACAGGCCCGGGACACTGAGAAGAGACCCACCCCTCAGGGCTGGGCTGTCCAGAGATGGGGCATGGGGTCAAGGCTGCCAGGAGGCCAGCCAGGGAAGACAGCCCTCCTGTAAATGTGAGGGTGTCCAAGTTGCCCCCAAGGGTCTTGCCAAGTCTCCTGAACCCTGGGCTCCCCACTGTGCTACTAGCCAACTGCCTGTCTCAGCTTCCCAGAAGCCCCCTCTTTGCTGGGAAGGGCTGGAGTGAGCACCACCCCTTTTCTTTCATAAGGTGGGGGTCCTCTGGGTACCACAATGGTGTCACCTTAGGAGGAGAAGGTGGGTTGCTTCTCAGCCAGGGCACAGGCAGGAGGGATCGGCAGGCTGCCTTCCAGGAGGGATTTTAAGCACTTTCCAAAAATGCCACGCGAGGCAACACCGTTGAAGACCAGGACCCCGGCTGTTCCGACAATCAGCAAAGAACTCAAGACTCTGGGCCCCCCTACCCCATTTCCAGGCTTCCTCAAACACCCCATCTCTCCCTTCGCACCTCAGCACCTGCCCCAGAGCCACCACACACCCTGTGCTCAACCCGGGCCGTGCCCCCGACCATGGACACTCGCATCCCTGCGTTGAGCTTCACAGCTGAAGCCCCCGCCCCCTGTGGACCCCCAGACCTCCGCAGCCCCGTCCTCACGTCCACCTCCCAGGCGAACAAGGCCTACTGACTTACCGGGAGGTGGGGCCGGGGTCCAGACAGAGGGGAGCTCCGCAGGCCGAGGAGGCTCCGCAAAGCGGGGCAGGG